CTGTTCGGGGGTCCACTGCTTCGGGTGGAGCTCGCGGGGCCCCCGCTGCTCCCGCAGCATGCCCATGAGCGGCTCCTTGCGGAGACGGGCGCCTCCTCGAACTATTCCTGCTGCTCGTGCCGCTGCCGCTGCTGCGGCAGCGGGGTGAGGAGGAGCAAGCAGGCGAGGAGGGGAGCGAGGAGGGGAGCGGGGGGGGCGGGACGGGGGGAAAGGGGGGGGGGCTACTCAAAGAAACATGATTGGCATGCCTTTTCGAAAGGAAAGTCCCTGAGATGTCCAAGGTACCCACGTGAGCAGGGGATCCACGACAGTCAGAGGCCCGACCGAGGACCTGGTCGGGTCCAGGGGGAGGACAAGGAGGAGGACGAGAACGCAGCGAAGGAAAGGAGGAGGGGCAGCAGCAGCAGCAGCAGCAGCAGCAGCTGATCCTGGTCCTGCTGCTGCCGCCACCGCTGCCGCTGCTATCCATCCTCACTTTACTCATCCTCCTGCTCCTCCTCCTCGTCCTCCTCCTCCTCCTGCTCCTCCTCCTCCTCGTCCTTCTCCTCCCCCTGCTCTTCTTCATCCGGGCAGTACCACTACTATTCGACTACGGCGACAACCAGCACTACTACTACCACTACTACCACTACTACCACTACCACTACTACCACTACCATTACTACTACTACTACTACTACTACTACTACTACTACTACTACTACTACTACTACTAATACTACTACTACTACTACTACTACTACTACTACTACTACTACTACTACTGCTGCTACTATACTGCTGCTGCTGCTGCTACTACTACTACTACTACTACTACTACTACTTACTACTACGACTAACTACTACTACGGCTACTACTCACTGCGACTCCTACTACTACTACTACTACTTAGGACTACTACTCTACTACTACTACTACTACTACTCTACTACTACTACTACTACTCTACACTACTACTACTACTACTACTACTACTACTACTATACTACTACTACTACTACTACTACTACTACTACTACTACTATACTACTACTACGACTACTACTACGACCTACTAACTACTACTACTACTACTACCTACTTCTGCTCATACTACGACTATTAACGTTACTAATTTACTACTACTACTACTACTACTACTACTACTACTACTACTACTACTACGACTACTACTACTACTACCTCCTCCTACTACTATTACTACTACTAATACTAATACGAAATAAACTACAAATACTACTGCTCATACTACTACTATTACTAATGCTCCTACTACTACTACTACTACTAACTACTACTACTACTACTACTACTATACGACTACTATACCACCCACGACTACTACTACTACTCCTACTACGAACTACTACTACTACTACTATACTACTACTACGAATCTATAACAAGACTAGTATTACTACTAGTTATTACTACTACTACTACACTACTACTACTACTACTACGACTACTACTATTACTACTACTACTACTACTAACTGATACTACTGCTACTACGACACTACGACTACTAACGACTACTTCTACTACTACTATACTACTACTAACCACCACTACTTACTACTACTACTAGCGACTACGACTCTACTGTACTACTACTACTACTACTACTACTACTACTACTACTACACTACTACTACTACTACTACTACTACTACTACTACTACTACTACTACTACTACTACTACTACTACTACTACTACTACTACTACTACTACTACTACTACGACTACGACTACGACTACGATTACGACGACGACTACGACTACGACTACTACTACTACTACTACTACTACTACTACTACTACTACTACTACTACTACTACTACTACTACTACTACTACTACTACTACTACTACTACTACTACTACTACTACTACTACTACTACTACTACTACTACTACTACTACTACTACTACTACTACTACTACTACCACTACCACTACCACTACCACTACCACTGCCACTACCACTACCATTACCACTACCACTTCTACCCCTACTACGACTACTACTACCGGAGGGATGGGGGAGGATGGGAGGAGGGGGTGGGCGATGGGAAGGGATGGGAGAGGATGGGAGAGGATGGGATGGGGCAGGTCTGGATGGGAGAGGATGGTATGGGCGGGAGGGGGCAGGAGAGGAGGGAGGTTATGGGAGAGGCGGGAGTTGCGAGAGGAGAAGGAGGGGCGCGAACGGTGGAAGTGGACGTGGGGGCGTGAGAAATGGGAGAGACAGGGGGGGAAGAAAGAGTAAGGGATCTGTTTCTCCTCCTCCTCCTTCTCCTCCTCCTCCGCATGCTCCGCATGCTCCGCATGCTCCGCATCCTCCTTCGAGGACGGAAAGGAGGCCGTTGGCCCAGGCATGCTCCTTCTCCTCCCGCTCAGCGCCATAGCCTCCGAAGGACATGCCTGCCGCGGGCGTCGGGCGCGACGCGCTCCTCCCTCCCAGTCCCGCTAATTAGTCGTCCCGATGTTCCTTCCTATCTCTCCTCCACTCACAAAAACTGACTCGGCCGACCTTGGCAGCATTCGGACTGCCAGACTATCCACCCCATCCCCAGACTCCCCTCCCCTACCCCTCTTTCTTTCTCGCCTACGGCCTACCTTCCCTCCCCGATCTCCCCTCCTTTCTCCCCTTCCCGCTCCCCCTCCACATACCCTTTGCCATAGATATCGATCCGAATGTTAGAAGCGGTTTTGTTCGCTTTGAGCCTTCACATTGCTTCCAGTGTTCAACTGGTCAAATGCTCAACTGTCGCTGCCGCTTTCGTTAAGCTGGTTCATGGTTCGCGTTCCAAGTGCTCCCTCACCCGTCAGCCGTCTCCCCTCCGTTCTCCATGTTTTCCAGCTCTCTCTTTCTCTCTCTCTCTCTCTCTCTCTCTGTCTCTCAGAACTGGCCCCTGCCCGTTCTGGAGCTGCCGTTTTCAACTGCCGTATCCACTCCGACTTCTCTTTGCAAGCATCCGTGCTCGTTCCGTGTGCGATCTGAGTTGTATGTTTCCAGTTGCGACTGCCCCTACGGGAAAGGTGCAAACGGGGGAAATGACGGCCATAGCATGTTGACGCACATCTCTGCCTCCTTCATCCATTCATTCCTGCGCCACCAGCTGCCCATCCTCCCTGAAGTCCAGTCCTCCCCTCCCGCACCCTCACCCTCCCCTTTTGAACTCGTGATCCTCCGCCTCCTCCTCCTCCTCCTCCTCCGCCTCCTCCATCTCCTCCTACTCCTCCTCCACCTCCTCATCGCCATCACCATGATAAACTGAATCCCTCCTCATCCCCATCACCACCACTACCATCACCATCACCACCACCACCGGCATCGTCAATATCATGCTGATCCTTGTCCCAGCTTATCCGCCTCCTCCTCCTCCTCCTCCTCCTCCTCCTCCTCCTCCCCCTGTTCCTGCTCCTCCTCCTCATCCTCCTCATCCTCATCCTCCTCCATCCTCCTCCCCCTCCTCCTCCTCCTCCTCCTCCCCCTCCCCTCCGCGCACGTACTTGCAGGTGTAAAGAATCCGCCGACTGTATGTCCGACATTCCCATGGATTCCTGGAAGCTTTACAGCACATGCCGAATGCGCGCGCGCGCCAGACGCATGTTGCAGACCCCGTCGTGCACGAATGTGTAAGCGCAGGTGTCGACATCCCTATTGGGGCCTGCACAATTGAAAAGCGTGCCAAATGCGCACTCGCAGGCGCATGTAGCAGACCCCCTTCGCGCAAATGAGTTGCATGGATTCGACATCCCCGTTGGGGCCTGCACACTTGAAAACGCGTACCAAATGCGCACTCGCCAGACGCATGTGGCAGATCCCCTCCGCGCAAGAAGGCTTACGTGAATGCTCGACATCCCGATTGGGGCCTGCACACTTGAAAACGCGTGCCAAATGCGCACGCGACAGACGCATGTTGGATACCGCCCTCTGCGCACGTGTTTACACACGAGAAGAATCCGACGGCCGCAGATCCGAAAGATCCCCCTGGGGGCCTGGACGCGTGAAGACACGCTCCAAACAACGCGCACGCGCCCGACGCATGTCAGATACCCCCCTCTGCACACGAACGATCAGATGTTTAAAAAGCCGACGCTCTCATGCTGGTTACCCCACCCGTGGCCCTGTTGGCGTCGAGATCGTGTTGAAGCACGTGCCAGACGCATGCGTGCCGCCCTCTAACCACGCACGTATCTTATACGCACGTTCCCAGTCCGTCTCCATTTCACGGGTAGAAAATACGCTCGACACTCCTTCGGGCCTGGACACGTGAAAACACGTGCCAAACGCGCATGCGCACGACGCATGTTGGATAACCCCCTCCTACGTACGTATGTACGCATGTAAAGAATCCAACGCACCCATGTTGGACACCCCACCTGTAGCTTCTATTGACGTCGACAGCACGTGGGAACGACGCGCCAAGCGTGCCGAGACGCATGTTGTATACCCCCTTCTCCGCGCACAGACTTCTACCAACCCGAATCCGACGGCACCTGCTCGGCACCCCTCGGGTCTGGGGCCAACGCCCCGACGGCGCAAACATCACCCCTGGCCCGTAGCCGATACCAAAAAAAAAGCAACGAGAAGCCAGTGGCAGGATCGCCAGGTGTCCCGGCAAAATCCGCTCAGAATCAATTCATGTAGGGAAACGAACTCTATACACCGACGCTATTCCCGACCCTGCGCTGAAATTCGCACAGGAACGCGAATTCTGGTGTATAGGGATCCTGGTGCATACATTTGTCGTTGTTTCCCTTGGAAAACGGGGGAGAAGCTCGCCCCCCCCCAGCACCCCCAAACGACGGACTGGGGAGGGGGGGTGGTGCTTTCGAGGAGGAGGGGGAGCAGGAGGAGGAGAGCGACGACGAGCAAACGATCAGTGAAGATTGTGTGATTTTGGTGGTTTGGGGGTGCTGGGGGGGGGGGGGCGACCAAAAATACACACCACACCACCCGGACGTCGTCCCTGCCCCGTAAAAAG